TTTTTTTTTAATGTTTATTTATTTTTGAGGGGGAGAGAGCGTGAACAGGGGAGGAGCAGAGAAAGAGGGAGACATAGAATCCAAGGCAGGTTCCAGGCTCTGAGCAGTCAGAACAGAGCCCAACGCAGGGCTAAAATTCACGAACCATGAGATCATGACCTGATCTAGAGTCGGATGCTTAACCGACTGAGCCACCCAGGTGCTCCAGTCTTCCTATTCCTAATCCAGGCTCCATGTTATTGCTATCACTTTAATAAAACCCCAGTCTCATCCCAACTAAAGTCTCTCTTGTTTAAAAAACAACCAAAAAACCCAACATGCAGTACTTTCCCTGCTGCCTACAGGTAGAAGTCCAAATTCTGAGGCATGTCATTGAATCTGATTCCAAACTTTATTTTCAGACTTCATCTTTTTTCCCTTGTGCACCATACTCTGCTCACACAGGTCTATTAGCCATTCCCCCTGTGCTTTTGGTAAGGCTGTTGACTCTTTCTGGCGTCTTCTCACACTGGCTGCCCAAAAATGACAAAATCTCCCTCTCTCCCCTTCCCCTTGGTGAAGAACCATGGCTTAGCCCTATAATTACTTCCTTTGGTATTCTCATACAGGACTAAGTGCCAGTAGTACTATAGCTTTTGTTAGTTTTTTTTAAATTATAGATGCCATTAACTCCTCTACTAAATTATGTTTTCCAAAAGAAAGGAAACCTTTGACTTTGTTTTTCTTTGAATCTGCAGTATCTAACATAGTAACTATTACAGAGGAACTCAACTAAATGTTCTGGGTTTTTTTATTATAGTAAAATTATATAACATACAACTTACCATTTTAACTACTTCTAAGTGTACAGTCTGTCACATTAAGTATGTTCACATTGTGTGCAGCCATAAGACCATCTATCTCCAGAACTTTTTCATCTTCCTTGACACTCTATACCCATCAAACACTTAACTCCCCATTCCCCTTCCCCACCACACCCTTGGCCACTGGCAGCCACCACTGTACTTTCTGTCTCTCTGAATTTGACTTCTCCAGTTACCTCATATGAATGGATCATACAGTATTTGTCCTTTTGTGACTGGTTTATTTCATTTAGCATGTGTCATCAAGGTTCATCCATGTGTTAGACTTTTTTTTTTTTTTAATTTTTTTTTAACGTTTATTTATTTTTTTGAGACAGAGAGAGACAGAGCATGAACAGGGGAGGAGCAGAGAGAGAGGGAGACACAGAATCCGAAACAGGCTCCAGGCTCTGTGCTGTCAGCACAGAGCCTGACGCGGGGCTCGAACTCATGGACCGTGAGATCATGACCTGAGCCGAAGTCGGACGCTTAACCGACCAAGCCACCCAGGGGCCCCTAGACTTTTCTTTATAAGCCTGAATAATAGTCCATTGTACATATATACCACCTTCTATCCATTCTCCCATCATTGGATACTTGAGTTGCTTCTGCCTGTAGGCTATTGTGGATACTACTACTTTGAACAAGGGTGTGCAGATATCTGTTTGAGTCTCTGCTTTCATTTCGTTTGGCTATGTACCCAGAATCAATTAAGTAAAGTATGTTTTATTTTACTAATGTGCAAAGCTGGTTTTTTAATATAACTTGGTCTGTGATGAGCATTTATTTACATGTTTAAAAACCAACAGAACATGCCACTGCCTTCTCTACAGGGTACCAGCCGTCCTTCACACTATCATGTTTTATGGGACGATAACTGCTTTACTGCAGATGAACTTCAGCTGCTGACTTACCAGCTCTGCCACACTTACGTGCGCTGTACACGATCTGTTTCTATACCTGCACCAGCGTATTATGCTCACCTGGTAGCGTTCAGAGCCAGATACCATCTCGTGGACAAAGAACATGACAGGTAGTATAAAAGCACAACAAATACAGATTCTCACCCAAAACCAAGTATGGGTCAGCATGTTAGGCTTTTCTTGCAAAATTTCTTTTAAGTGTTTCCATGTATGTGCCTCTCTGCCACAAGCTGTTAGAGGACTCAGTGGTCCATATGAAAAGGAACAATAGGCAGAACTGACTACCCAAGATAAGGGCTCCATTAAAATGTGCACTTTAGGCTTATTAGTATTAGAATGGTATAGTGATTTAGTTGCTTTACCAGATTAATTCAAGGGAGAGATCATTGCTAATAGACAAAATGATGGGATGTCTGAGATTTGCTTCTAAACAATCCTGGGGAGGTGAGAGAAGTAAAACAAAATTGGCCTTGGGTTAATAATCATTGAAGCTGGGTGATAGAAATGTTCATAATGCCAGCCTCTCTTTTTTTAATATAAATAGTTTTGAAATTTTCTATGAGTAATATTTTCTAAAATTACTACATCAGAATAGGGTTTGTTTTTGTGTTCATTGCCACTTCTCTTACAGTGCTGAAGGAAGTCATGTTTCAGGACAGAGCAATGGACGAGATCCACAAGCTCTTGCCAAGGCTGTACAGATTCACCAAGATACCTTACGCACAATGTACTTTGCTTAAAAAGTCCAAGAATATTCTCTGAGAGGAAGAATTGAAAGATGCATCGACATAGAGCGTATGTTTCCAGTGGAGTCAGTTGAGTGGGAATGCCTCCAGCCATACAGCAACCAACACTGTGTGGGGACCAGGGTCTGATTTTTATGTTAATATAAGGAAGATTGTTTACTTCATCAAGGAACACAGCACCATTATGCAATATGAAACCAGCCAACTGCTTTTTTGTGCGGTCTCCTTAGGAAGTATCGCCATTGTTTTGTTTTCACTTTCTTGTAGTCTAACCCTTTTAATGCCTTTACCTCAAGTTGCTTGGCAGCACAACTATCTTTGCAAAAAAAGTACAGAAAAAGTAAATGACGGTTTAAAAAAAAAACACACACACCTTACATGAATAATCAAAGTGATTGTTCACAATTATGTGTGCAAAAAAATTAATGTGCATTCGTGTATTCTTGTGAAAGGTATCTGTGTATATTTTAAATATATACATGTATACTTCATATGCATATATATCTGGATCTACACTGACAGTAGATATATATGTGTCTGTGTGTGTATTTTATAGTTCATTCCATCGGGAAACTTTCTTTCCCTTTTATCATCCTCCCACCACCACTTTGATTTCTCTCTACCTCCCTCGCCTTCATCACCTACATTTTTTTTTCCTGATGCTACCAGTGACATTCAGATGTTCATGTATCTGGTTCATTTGGATATGAAGCATGGCAAACTAGAGTTTTATTTTTATTTTGCACACCCTACTCCTGTCTCTTGTCTCATACACAATTCTAAGTCCTCAACTCTTGATATTGCTTTCTTAAACAAAATTATTATATATATACACACACATGTATATGTATGTATATATATATGTGTGTGTGTGTGTGTGTGTGTGTATATATATACGTATATATATATGAAGTTTCTATGAGAGTGTCTGCCCACTCCTGCTCTGAACTTAACATTTGCCATTTGTGCAATGTGTATATAAGCAGTAGCAATCTTAAACTATTATTTTTCTTTAGTTTGTTAAAGCTGCTATAAATATAAAACTTTGTCAGAAGTTGTAACTCAGAAATTTCTCTATAACTGATATGTATTCTAAAGCCTTCTGTTGCTATGGGTTATACATGAAAATCCCTTACAGCTTTCATAAAGGGCAAATATTTTAAATGATTGAAACTCTTTAGGGTTGAGGCCTCTGAAATTGGGTGGAGAGAGAGAAGGGGTTGCTGAGGGTTTTTTTTTTTTTTTTAATTTTTTTTTTTTTGCTAGTTTACTTGTTGCCTCTCATACCTTAATGTGATTTTCATATATATATATATACACACACATACATATATATGCTTATATATATATGTATGTATATATATATATATATATATATACATATATGTATGTTTTGGAGTACAGCTTCCTTTTATATTTATTAGGATAGTGCTTTAATAATTAGAGAACTGTATTGGCAACATCTTTTATAGAAATGTAATCATGTTTATTTTAAGAACTGACAACTTGTTTTGCTGTCTTTTAGTGCAATAAGCAGTTTTAAAGGAAAGGTGTGTCTGTTTGATTTCTTTACCACAGATAGTGGGAGAAACAGGCACCTCCATAATTTTAAAAGGGCAAAGTAATACAGCCTTAATTTCAGAAGGAAAGTTTTGTAATTTTTCAAGTTTAAAGAATGTCTTTTAAAAATCCTAATGAAAATGAAGGAAGTTAAATTTCCTAAATGAGTCTGATCTTAAATACTAGAGATAGAGTTGAACTTTGATGTAAGAAATGACAGTGAATAGGGGCTTAGTTGGTGGAGCATGTAACTTTTGATCTCAGGATCATGAGTTCAAGTGCCACTTCAGGTGTGGAGCCTACTTTTTAAAAAATGACAGTGAATAACTTAAGATTTAGAAGACATTTAATATTTTGAAAATAGATCATGTTTATTGAACAATCATACTGGTTAGGTGCCCATTTTCATTTACTAAAATTAATTAGGAAAATGTAAAATGATATTTTTAAAACATTTTTTGCCAATTTATCACCAGTGTAACTTTCCTTTTAAAATTAGGGTTATGGTGGCAAAGGAGGTTAGGACTGATCATTTTAAATGAGTTAAATCACTGAAATATGGAAAAGGTTTTACAAAACTTCTGTTTTATTGATTTTGTTTTAAGGTATTGAAAATATTATAGAGCTGTCAAAATCAAGTTCATCAGTAACATTGGATTCAGGGGAGCTTAGCACTTTGTAACTCATGAAAATTGCATTTTAATTTTTTTTTTTTTTTTTTTTTTTTTTTTTTTTTTTTTTTTTTTTTTTTTTTTTTTTGCACTGGTTCAGAGTGTAGATACTACAGATTGTTTCCAGTGGGCATTTTAAACCTTTCAGAATTCCATCTGCACATGATATCAAATGGATTAGCTCTTTAGTTTCTCTCTTACCTGTAATCCACTCTTATTGCCAATTTACTGTATTTTGAGCCTATAATCTGAGCCCGTGTCCTCCAACAGGTATGAAATATTTTGTTCCTCTGCCAGAAAACTAAGAAAGTACTGTATTTTGTATGTTTATTATTACTGAAGTGTCTGAAATGCAATTTACAACACTGTTTCAAAGCTCTTTACATGAAGTAATATTTGTATAGTATATACATTTTTTTCTCCCAACCCTGCCCCTCTCCTCCAAAAATTTCCTATAAAGCATGTATTTTTTTTTTTTTTTACATTAAAATTTCACTGAATATAGTCAGGAACATGAACAAGAGAAGAAAATAGTTTATCCTTGATTGTTATATGCTTGCTCAGTATGAGTAAAACACCTTCCTTTACCAATGGGAGCTACACAGACATGTGGGAAACTATAGGGCCCAGGGAAGAACTATAAGATACCATTTGCCTATTTAGTGCTTCACTTCATTTTCAGTTGCTTAGTTTTCCATGTGGTAGAATGAAACCCGTAATTTAAATCTATTTGGAAGGACTTTTACTGAGGAAAAACAAAAAACAAAAACGTTTTTTAATATAAAGCTTTACCTTTGAAGTGAGTTCTTTTTTAGGGTTTCTTTCTTACAGTTTCAACATTGCTAGTTTAAGGTTGGTTAACTTGAAAGAATATGTATAGTATATTTCTATTTTGCTTACTAACAAATTGGTATATCAAACTTAATTAAAAGGAACCTTGTGCTTAGAATTTTAAGATAAAAGACTAAGTGGCAAATACTTTTTGAAATTTGTTTTAATTATTATTGCACTCTGGTGTAGAATTCCTGATCTTTTTTTATTTAAAAAAAAAAAAAAAAAAAGATTGTTTTGAATTTAAAGGTCATGAAACTCAACAGTGACCTTTCTGTTCCTGCCTTTGCTCACTAAACTGTATAATGAATGCTAAATTTTGGTCTGCTGTTTTCTATGATGCATAAGATTTACTTTAAAATGTCAGTCCCAGCCACTGGTATAATTGATTTTCATATGAAGAAGAGTTGGGAGTTTAATGTATATTCTGGATGGCAAATGTGTCTGGGTAAAGTGCTGATACATGTTATGACAGTATCAGGTTACTGGCATTGAGGACCATACATTTATAATACTATAGCTGCTATATTTATTTAATTAAGTAGAGTCTGACATTTACTGCACTAAACAGTAAGGAGATGAGCAGGATTGGAGGCTAGTGTTAAGACACACACCCTTTTTTCCTAAATAAGATTAAGAACATGAAATAATAAGGTAACAAAGGGTGCTGCCATTTTAGTTTCAATTTAATATCAGGATACGCTTTGTTTTAGAAATGCAGATTTTAACTTTAGCTGTTTTGCAAAAGGGTACCTCAACCTCCTCAGTACTGGTTTTTGGCATATTTTCACAGAAGTACAGCTGCCCTTTATTTTTTCTTAATATTTTACCTTTTAACAAGTTTCTCAGAAAAAAAAAAAAGTTCTTATATGGAAATCTACCTGTTTGTAATCCATTAATTTATTTCTCTTTCTAGAAGAGTCTAGAAGGGATTCTAGTAGGAATGTACCGGGTGTTTTGGAAGGCACTAGATAAAGATTCATCTCTACTGTCTAGAATAGGGACTCCTAGCCTTCTAAAGACCTATACTAGTTTTCCAAACTAGGTTCTTTGATGACCCACCACTGCCTAATGTTTACTTGTATATTCTGTAATGGATTTTAGGTTGACAGACTGCATGACAGGCTTAGTCCTGACAGACTTAAAGGAAATAAAATCTGAGTTGCCATTCAGTAGAAATGGCTGGCAGAGGATCTCAGTGTTTAAGGAAGAGGTGAACAAGCAGAGTGGCAGTAATAGATCTGAAGCAATTAGATGGATTATATAGGCCAGGAATTAGAAACTGTTGGTAAAGGAAGTTGATGAGTGTTTTCAGAGGCTAACATATATTTGCCAAGGGTGGTGATTTTTATGAAATCCATGAATCTAGCCATTTGGATTCAGCTTAGAATATTTTGTAGTCCTGCTTTTTCAAACTTGATAGAAATATTTTGCCAAAAAGCTTAACTGAAAACTCTGTATAATTTTTATTCAGGATCGTTAAACCTGAGTTAAATATTTGGTTAAATCTCTCTTAGATGTTCTCCTATTGAGTATTTTTAAAAGACAGGTTGTTCCTATCAGTAACTTCCTACTTAAATTACCTTTTAGGAGTTATCAGTCAAGCTGCAAAAAGACATCATTGGCTTGGCATCTTTATTTTGCCTTTTTTATCCATACAGAGTTTTAATCCTTTGCATTCTTTTTGAGAATTCTTAGATGTCTTAAAGCTTCAATAATAATAGTTGGGAGGCTTTATAGATATAGATATGGATAGATCAAGTGAGGCTTCCCTGAGTGGTGGTATAACCCTGACTCTAAAGTCTGTCTTTATTTTCCTATTCCCCTCCCATTTGATCATATAAAGCACTTTCGTGATTCTATAGGAGTCAAAAATAAGCCAAGAATTGATGTGTAAAATTAGTACAGAAATGTGAAAGTAAGGGTTTTCTC